TGCCCTGGCCGTGCCTTGTAGCTCCCGGGTGGTGGAGATCCAGTCGCAGATGTCGGAGCGGGCTGTGGAGCTGCTGGGACTGCCTGAGAACCGGCCGTGCCTCCTCCTGGACGTGGGGTGAGTGTGGGCCCTGCCCTGCGTCATGGCACACGGGGCGCCTGGGGCTTCTGCCAGCTAGCCGGGGCAAGGAGCATCCAGGGCTTGTGTCACCAGCGCCTCTCTGTTGTGGGCTAAAGAAGAGGGACGGGCTGCTGTAGTGATGCAGCTGGCCAGGGTCACCCTCAGACCAGGCCCACGATGCCTGCGCTTTCCCTGCTTCCTCCTTCCAGCTGTGGCTCCGGGCTGAGTGGGGATTACATCTCGGACGAGGGTCACTACTGGATTGGCATGGACATCAGCCCCGCCATGCTGGGTGAGCAGGCCCTCCTCCCCTGCCACCCTTGTCTCACCTCAGAGGTGGTCCCAAAAGGTGTGACCTAGTTGCCTGAGCTGTGCTCTTTTCTGTGCAGATGTGGCTGTGGAGAGGGAGGTGGAAGGAGACCTTCTCCTTGCAGACGTGGGTCATGGCATTCCCTTCAGGCCTGGCATGTTTGATGGCTGTATCAGGTGAGTTTGTGTACATAAGTGAGCTCTCTTGATGTCCACGTAACTGCATCGTTTGTATGGTACACATGGTCCACGTACGGTGCATAACAGAGGACTGTCCTTATCAGTTGCTTTCTTTGCTCCGTGAAACTTGACTCCACCTTTCTGGACAAGCTGCTGAGATTCTGGATGGTAGAAGCAGCTTCTGACAGCTGTTTCCCAAGCAACGCTTGTCTTTTTTTGTGCTGGTGAGCGAGGAAGTTTATTGAAATCAATAAAACGAAATCGGGGATATTGTCAGGAGGGTTGAGACCTGCTCCAAGGAGGAAAACAGAAAGTATGTACCATTGCTCAGCTGCAATGTCAGTCCCTGGATCAGAGGTTTGATGGTTGGTTTTGGGATGAAGGGGTAGGTGAAGGGGACAGAAACACTTTTCTGCTTAGAGAATACCTCAGAAAGGTGCTGGGAAGGAGCAGGGTCTGTCCGTTGCTGATCTGAACACTCGATGTTTGGGATTGCTCATTGGCAAAACCTGCATGGCCGTGCAAGGGCCACAGCTAAGCACCTGGCCTAAAAGGGATGCTTGGCGATTCTTTTGTGCTTGAGTAACTGCTGTGCGTTGTTGGGTTTTGGCATAGTGAGTCTCCAGAGGGGTTCGTGTAACTGCAAAACAGAAGGCAAAGCTATACAGAGAAAATTAAATCATTTCCCTGAAGCACATGCTTAGTGCTGGAAGTAAGCTCAAAGGGAGGTGACAGGCTCTGTGAAAGAATCGATGCCTTAGTGTCCTGGGGGTCTTGTTTTTTCTTTCTCAGTATTTCCGCAGTGCAGTGGCTTTGTAATGCTGATAAGAAATCACACAGTCCTTCAAAACGCCTTTATCGATTCTTCTCAACTCTTTATACTGCCTTGGTAAGTGTCATGCTCTCCCAGTCAGGCCTCTGCCTACTTTTATATCCTTGCTGGTGCTTCTGTAGGTATGTTAGTGGGAAAAGGAGGATGAGGGAAAATGTGGGTCCC